GGCATGTTTGGCTGGGCATGGTGGCTCATGCCTGTAATCTGATGACACTTTGAGAGGCCGAGACAGGAGGATCACTGGAGCCCATGAGTTGGAGACCAGACTGGGCAACACAAGGAGACCCCCATCTCTAAAAAAAAAAATTGTTTAAAAAATAGCCAGAGGTAGGCCAGGCACGGTGGCTCATGCCTGTAATCCCAGCACTTTGGGAGGCCGAGGCGGGAGGATCATGAGGTCAGGAGATCAAGACCATCCTGGCTAACACGGTGAAACCCTGTCTCTACTAAAAATACAAAAAATTAGCTGTGCATAGTGGTGGGCGCCTATAGTCCCAGCTACTCGGGAGGCTGAGGCAGGAGAATGGCGTGAACCCAGGAGGTGCAGCTTGCAGTGAGCCAAGATTGCACCACTGCACTCCAGGCTGGGCAATAGAGCGAGACTCTGTCTCAAAAAAAAAAAAAGCCGGAGGTGGTGCATGCACCTGTAATCCCAGCTACCGGGGATGGAGGTGGGAGTGGGGAATCACTTGAGCCCAGGAGATCAAGGCTGCAGTGAACCGTGGTTGTGCCACTGCACTCCACCCTGGAAGACAGAGTGAGACCCTGTCTCAAAAAACAAATAAACAATAAAAACTGGCGTGTCTGTGTCATCTAAATTGACAAATCATCATCACGATTATTGTCACCACAACCATTTGTTGTGAACTCATCAGGTGCCAGGTGCTGGGTTTTTGACATGAGCCTGTGACATTGTGACATGCTTTGCCAACATTTGTCATTATTTGTCTTTTTTTTTTTCTTTCTTGAGACAGTGTCTTGCTCTGTCACCCAGGCTGGAGTGCAATGGCGTGATCTCAGCTCACTGCAACCTCTGCCTCCTGGATTCAAACGATTCTCCTGCCTCAGCCTCCCAAGTAGCTGGGACTACAGGCATGTGCCACCACGCCTGGCTAATTTTTTTTGTATTTTTAGTAGAGACAGGGTTTTGCCATGTCGGCCAGACTGGTCTCAAACTCCTGACCTCAGGTGATCCACCCGCCTTGGCCTCCCAAAGTGCTGGGATGACAGGCGTGAGCTGCTGCGTCCAGCTGAAAGTCACTTTGAAACAACCAATCCACTTTTTGTTCTGTTTCTGCTTTTGTCGGCCTCCGCTATCACACCAACCTCCTCTGTTCAGCTCATCGGAACACTCATTCTATTGCCCAATTCTAGAATAACAAATAAAAACCCATTCAGCCTAGGTGCTGTGGCTGAGATCATGCCACTGCGCTCCAGCCTGGGCGACAGAGCAAGACTCAGAGAAGAAAGAAAAGAGAAGAGAAAGAAGAAGAGAAGAGAGGAGAGGAGAGGAGAGGAGGGGAGGGGAGGGGAGGGGAGGGGAGGAAAGAGAAAGAGAAAGAATGAAGGGAGGGAGGGAAAGAGAGGGAGGAGAGAGAGAAAGAAAGAGAGAGGGAAAGAGAGCGAAAGAGAGAGAGGGAAAGAGAGCGAAAGAGAGAGGGAAAGAGTCAATTACAATATTTAAACTGATCGGTTGTAATTCTGTCAGCCTTTAGACATGGATTTTTCTAAGCTGTGACCGGAAGTCAAGTCCCCTCGGCCGAGTGACAGAACTCTTTGTTCTCTTCCCCTGCCTCTTCCCCCAGAGCAAAAACCCACGCGCCATGGCACCCAAACTGGGGGAGGGACCTACTTTTCCTAAGTCATACCCTGCTCTATAAGTGGGTACCAGGGGGTGGCAGCCACTGATATTCTCAGCTGGTCTCGCCCCGCCTGATGTGAAAAAGCCTCCATCCTATGAGCCAGCTGGAGCTGGGCCAGCAGGGCCCAAGCGCTCTCAACCTGCGGCACCTGGAGAAGAGCGTCCACGCTGCAGGTGGGTCTTGTGGGAAAGTTCTCTCTGCTGCACCTGCTTGCCATAGAGATTCTGCAACACAGGGATGGGCAGGGAGGGGTGGGGTGCTGCGTAAAAAAAGGCCAGCAGCCTTCCCCTCCCACAGCGAAATGAAGAGCCAGACTAGGAGCTGGGAGAAGAGCCCCCTGTCTTTTTGACCACACCTGCCTAGAGTATAACAACACCCCAGGTAAAACTTCCAGGACACAGAGCTGGGGGGTCAGGGGGAGAAATGGTGTTTTTCTAACACCGAGTATTTGTTACTTTCACACAGATGATCTGATACCAGCTGGGTGTCCAACATGTGAGAGTAAGTAAAATTTAAAAGCTGGCCAGGTGCAGTGGATCATGCCTGTAATCCCAGCACTCTGGGAGGCCAAGGCGGGCAGATCACTTGAGGTCAGGAGTTTGAGACCACCCTGGGCAACATGATGAAACTCCATCTCCACCAAAAAAATTTTAAAAATTAGCCAGGTATGGTGGTGCATGTGTGTAGTCCCCAGCTACTTGGGAGGCTGAGGCAGGAGAATCGCTTGAACCCAGGAGGCAGAGGTTACGAGCCGAGACCGCACCACTGCACTCCAGCTTGGGCAACAGAACGAGACTCTGTCTCAAAAAAAAAAAAAGAAAGAAACAAAGAAAAAAATGTAAAAGTTGTTGGAACCCCAAAACCACTTTAAGCCTTGAGAAAGATGTGACTGTGATGTGACTGAGAGATGTGGGTCACAGAGCCTGTTCTACAGATCTGCCTCTTAGACTGGAGCTTAACCCTGTTCCCCATTGTTCCCGTTCTGTAAATGACGAGGAAAGACCAGAGACCGGAACTCCCCTCCCTATCACTGACCTTGTTGTAAATTAACTGCCTCCTTTATCGCCCTGTACCTAACTCAGACCAAATGGTGGTGTGAACAGAGACCCTATGGCACGATCATAACTCACTGCAGCCTCGAACTCCCGGGATCAAGCAATCCTCCCACCTCAGCCTCCTCAGTAACTGGGACTACAGGTGTATGCCACCATGCCTGTTTTATTTTTTTAGAGACGGGGGTCTTGCTATATTGCCCAGGCTGGTCTTGAACTCCTGGCCTTAGGTGATCCTCCCACCTTGGCCTCTGAAAGTGCTGGGATTATAGGTATGAACCAGTGCACCTGGCCAAGGGCATGTTTAATGATGCCTGGCCTCCCTGCCTCCCTAGGGCCTAGGTTTCTTCCCTCCAAAGCCTCCCAGAGGTGACAGTGCCCCAGGTCACTGTCCACTGTCCTTGGCCGGTGCTGCAGTCTGCATGGCTTTGTGCACTGCCTGCCTCCCCTCAGAAGATCCAGCTCCTTCGGGGCTGCTGACTTTGTGTCTCACAGCTCCAGCAGCTCTGGGCCCATCCGTCTCAGTCCCCAGGAGACTACGGAAGGCAGCTGCAGAAACGATAATGAGACAGTGCCCCTGTTGGCAAGTAGCGGCCTAGGGTCCAAAGTAGGGAGCTTTGGGGAGAGACTCCAAGCAAGCTCCAGGAAGTGCTCTCCCTCCAACCTGCAGCGTCCCCTCCCTGCCTCTACCTGGAAGGCTGGCCGAGAAGTTCAGCTCATCCCTTGTGCCACGGGGTGCTGACAAAGCCATCCTGGTGCTGACGAAGGCGAGGAGGGCAGGTGTCCAAGCTGACACCCTCTGTGGGTTCCAGGCTGCCCGAGGGGCCGTGGGTCCCCAGCAGGCTGGGAATTCAGAGCTACCCCCTGCAATGGGCCTGGGGAAAAGAGAATAGAAATGGGGGAGGCACAGGGAGGCCCCCAGTCAGCTGGGAGCACCGTGGGAATTTTTGCCCACCTAGGCTCTGCAGGAGCAGCTGTTCAGGTGGGGGAGGGGGCAATGTCCAGCAGGAGCAGGGGCATCGCGTTGGGCTGGAAGGGCACTGGGCCAGGCCTCCCCTCCTCTCCCCCCAAGGCCTGGGCAGCCAGAGTTCTCTCACTGCGGTGAGTGCACTCAGCCTGAGGCCTGTGCAGAAGCGTGGGGGTCTCTTCCCTCTGCCGGTCACATTTTTACCCTCCCAGGGCTGCCCTGCCTGCAGGGAACAGGCACCCTGGGAAGGGCAGACCACCACAGGTGGTTTCCAGGGGTGTTGGAAATTCCAGGAGCTGCCTGCCTATCACACAAAGTGGGCGGGAGCTTCATGGGCCAGCACTCACTAAGTGCCCCCAGCATCCCTGGACCGTATCCCTGCGCAGGGAACTGTTACAATTTTACAGATGAGGTCTTGCGAACTCTTTCACAGAGCAAGGTTCAGGCCATTGGCCCAAGGACCCACTGGAGGTCAGACAGAGCCCAAATGTGAGCCCAGTTTTGACCAACCAATCACTTCTCTGACCTTTCTCATCACCAACAGTAAAGACGCCCTCACCTCCCTGTGCTTCTGACCCCTCACCGTGTCCCCAAGTTCTCCTCATCCCCCCGGCCCCACCCCAAGGGTCCTACAACTCATGAGATCTAGAAACCACATTTGCTGAAGTGCCACTGCCATTCCCCTTGGCTACTGTCAGAGTTTTTCAGGGTAGTGCTACAGCCATCTCTTGCTAAGTGCCAAGCCCTGGGATGACAGGGATGGAAAAGACCTGCCCACTGTCCCAGGGAGTGAGTGCCTGGGCTGGTGAGGAACACAGGCAGGCACACAGGCATGGCTGGCTGAGATCGGGGCTGGGGATGGAGCTCATAGAGGCACCCAGTGCTGGCCAGGGCCCCATCAGCTGGACCCCCTACCGCACCCACACCAGGACACTGTCACCCCAGGCCAAAGCTGCAGAACAGGCTTTGTGTGCCTGGGGTTAGTGTCTGATCAGCACAAAGGACAGGATGGCGATTTCCAGGGCCCTGACCCACATGAACACTCCCCATGGCGCTTATTTCCACGTGGGGGAAAGAGGGGTGTCCCCAGAAGCCCAAAAAGTTGCCCTGGGAGCCAGGCATCCTGCCTGCCGTGGCCTGGGACTCCTGGGCCCTCAGCGATGCCATCTGCCTTGGAGTGGGACCTGGTACTGGCGCCCAGCAGGAACAGGGCAGGGTCCCTTTAAGCCCAGCCTCACTCCCCCGGCCTGTTGCTATGTACGGGACCAGCTTCCTTAGCAACCACCTGGCCTCTTCCTGGGGCTTGGAGCCCTGGTTGCCATCAGCCATGGCTCCCAAAAAGAGTGTGAGCAAGGCAGGCAAGGAGCTTGAAGTCAAGAAGAAGAAAGGCAGCAAGAAGGAGCCGGTGGTGGCCGTGGAGCCGCCTCTGGCCAAGGAGACGAAGGAGTTCTACCACATCCAGATCCGAGACCTGGAGGACCGGCTGGCCCGGTACGTGGGCTGGCAGGCAGGAGTCTGGTGCCCTGGGTCAGAAGCCCATGCCCAGGTGGTCCCCGTGTGGGTTTGGCCAAGGGGCCCTAGGCCTGTGTTCTGACCTCCCCTGGGATGTCCAGACCCCATCCCGTTTCCTCATTTCCTCATACGTACCTTTGGGAGGTTTCAAGATTTTAAGGGTAAATGGATTTCCCCACCTTCCAGCTCCTAGAACCCTGGGCCCATGATGCTAACTCGTGGCCCCACCCCAGGCAATCCCCACTTCCCCCTGCCTCACTCCTGCCCCGTGGGATCACAGGCTTTATGAAAGGGTAGAAACAGCCCTCTGGTGGGCGGGTGGACCCCCTGGTCCCACTTCCACTTCCTGGCAGTGGCGCCTGCGCCCCACTGACTCGCCCAGCGCATGTGCCCAGTTGTTTCTCCATGCTGGGCCTCAGTTTCCCCAATTGTAAGTGGGGAAGGTTGATTCCCCCTCCATGGATGTGACATTCTATTCTACAGCCAGTTTTATGTGTGACATGGTGGTGGGGGGAGATCCTCTAACTCTTCATTCAGAGCCATGTTCACCTGCCCATCATTTTCTTATGTTACAACCAGTTTCCTCCCAGCTGTGAGGCACCAGCCCGAGTCTCAGGGTGACCTTAAAAGACAAACCAGTGGGCGGCAGCTCTTCCCCAGGTGACTGATGCTGTGGGTAACCACGGCTAATGCTGAGTCCCTCGTGGTGCCAGGCAGGCCACATACTGGTGCCCACTGAGTCCTCACAGCAGTCTTACTAGAGAGGTCGGATGTCATCCCCATTGCACAGATGGGGAAGACTGAGGCTCAGAGAAGGGAAGTCACCCCCAGGAAGAGGAGGCACCAGGATGGGAGCCCTGGCCTCCTGACTCCCCTATGCAAGACTTCTTCCTCAGCCCACACCCCTGAAATGCTCTGTGTGCAGTCACTATTTGAAATATGTTGGTCAACCAATTGTGATGCAAAACAACTTTCTAGGCCAGGCACGGTGGCTCACGCCTGTAATCCCACCACTTTGAGAGGCCAAGGTGGGCAGATCACGAGGTCAGGAGTTCAAGACCAACCTGACCGACATGGTGAAGCCCCATCTCTACTAAAAATACAAAAATTAGCCAGGCATGGTGGCGTGCGCCTGTAATACTAGCTACTCAGGAGGCTGAGGCAGGAGAATCACTTGAACCCGGGAGGTGGAGGTTGCAGTAAGCTGAGATTGTGCCACTGCACTCCAACTTGGGTGACAGATCAAGACTCTGTCTCAAAAAATAAATAAATAAATAAATAAATAAATAAATAAATAAATAAATAAAATGTAAAAAAAAAAAAAACAACTTTCCAAGTAACTTCGGTTATTCTATTGAAAACCAGTAAACTGGTTATGTAATACTGATTAAAATTAACATACTTCCCTTGAAATTCACAAACTTCCCTTGAGCTGAGACATCAGGTAGAATGTATTCAAGGCAAATGTATTTAACAGAGTTATTGGGTGCTTACTATTTGCCAAGCTGTCTGCCAGGCCCTGAGAATACAGAGGTGGAGGAGAGGGACATGTTCTTAGGTTTTGACCACCCAGTGGGACAAGGGCCAACTTACAGGAGAGCACCAAAGAGAGGGCCACAAATATGGCTCAGGGCCAAGAAGGGTCCACTGAGAAGAAAACAGCAGGGTTACTGGATGGAAAAAGGTAAGGGAGATGCCAGGTACAAAGACTTGGGATTGGAAAGTGTGGAAGAGTGATGGAGGGATGCAGAGCTGGCTGACTGCAGCAGGCATTGTGGCTAACAGCCTTGATTCTGGGGGTCAGACTGACTCCGGTTCAAGTCCTGGCTTTGCCACTTACAAACTCAGAGTTCCTTTATCCTTCTGAGCCTCAGTTTCCTCATCTGTCAAATAGGTATAAAATCATCATAGTATCTACATTCTTATAGGTTGTTGTAATGATTTAACAAACACACTGCACGCCTGCTATGTGCCAGGCACAGGTGTTGGGGACATACTTGTGAACATAACAAGGCTCTGCCCTCATGGAGTTTGCATTCTAGTGATGTAATGAAAATAACATGCTAAGCACAGGCATTGGCTGTGGTCATGACTGTCGGATCAGGGGGCATAGTGGGAGATGAGGCTGGATTCTGATCACGAGGAATCTCAAAAGCCCCTTTGCAGGACAGGGGGTCCAGGAGAGTGGGCCCAGCTGCACCAGAGGCCTGGCTTGCCCAGCCTGACCCCTGGACCACGGCCCCATCCCCGCCCCCACCCCAGGTACCAGCGGAAGTGGGATGAGCTGGCAGTGCAGGAGAAGCTGTTCCGCCAGGAGTTTGAGCAGCTGGCCAATAACAAGAAGGAGATTGTGGCCTTCCTCAAGCGCACGCTCAACCAGCAGGTGGACGAGATCACAGACCTCAACGAGCAGCTCCAGAACTTGCAGCTAGCCAAGGAGATGGAGAAGGATGCCTTCGAGGCGCAGCTAGCCCAGGTGCGCCATGAGTTCCAGGAGACCAAGGACCAGCTCACCACGGAGAACATCATCCTTGGTGAGGAGGGGACTGGCTGGCAAGCCTGCAGCACACATCCCAGCTCTATCACTGACCCTGTTTCTCACCTGGGAAACAGGGATAATAGCCACGTGCTGCTTGGCACGCACTGTCTTCCTTAATTGTCCCAGCAATCCTGCGAAGCTGGAAACATCCCCCAACCAGTTTGTAGACAAGGAAGCACCTCAAAAGGTGAAGTGTCGTGACCAAGGTCCCCCAGCTGGCAAGGGTTGTGAGGCTCAAATGTCAGACGGCATTAGAACCTAGCCCAGAGAATATACCCAGTCCAGCTGCCGGTTGGGCGTGGTGGCCTACGTCTGTAAACCGTGTGCTTTAGGAGGCCAAGGTGGGAGGACTGCTTGAGCGCAGGAGCTGGAGACAAGCCTAGGCAACATAGCGAGACTCCATCTCTACCAAAAAAAAAAAATACAAAAATTAGCCAGGTGTGGTGGTGCGCGTATGTAGTCCCAGCTACTTGGGAGGCTGAGGTGGGAGGATCTCTTGAGCCTGGGAGGTTAAGGCTGCAGTGAGCTGTGATTGTGCCACTGCACTCCAGCCTGAGTGACAGAGTAAGATTCTGTCTCAAAAAAAAAAAAAAAAAAAATACAGTTGTTGTCAGTCACTTTCATGAGAGTATCAAGGAAGGCTTCCTGAAGGAGGTGGAACCTGAACAAAGCTTCATAAGATTCATGGAGGGGTGGAGAGCGGGCAACCCAGATGAAGGCAGTAAAGGTGACAGGGCCACGAAGTGTAGGTGGGGGATGGTAGACCTGCCCCACTGAGACCGCACAGGGCACACAGGAAGGGACAGGGACCTAAGGGCCATCTTTGAGGTCCTCGCCAGGCCCTGTCCTCTGAGGCAGCCCCTTATTGGGCCTTGTGCCCTGTGATGGCCAGGGGGGAAGCTGGCAGCCCTGGAGGAGTTCCGGCTGCAGAAAGAGGAGGTCACGGACAAGTTTACGTTGCTGGAGGAGCAAGTGCGGAAGCAGGAGAGTGAGTTCAGGGACTATGCGTACAACCTGGAGAAGAAGTCGGTGCTGGACAAGGACAGGTGGGCAAGCGGGGCACCCTTTGGGACCTTTGGAGCCTTCATCCCTGGGACCACGAACATCCTAGTCTTCAGGCCCCAGCTTCTAACTGGGGGGTTAGATGGGGTAACTGACCCCTGCCCCCACAACCTGCTACTCCTTGGAATCCCAGCTGGTGATTATGGAGGGGTGGGAGAAAGGGAACAAGCTCCCAGCTGCAGTCCTCACGCTGGCATTGGAGACTCCCAGGGCTTCCTTTTGCCACGTACTGGGATTAAATCATGTTTACTTAATAGGGGAGAGTACACTAAAATGGTACCAATTACAAAGGTCCAGAACATCTACAGGGAAAGCCTCCTGCCTATAGCCCCAACCCTCCCCGGGAGAGAGTATGCTGGTGTTCAACAGCCCTAGGTGCTCTGGGAACCTCACAGAGGAAAGGGGTGTGCCCAGGGCTTGTGCCTGCTCTGTCTGACCCCTTCCCTCCCACCTTTCTGGCCAGACTGAGACAAGAGATCATCCAACGCGTGAACCTCGTGGCCAGTGAGTTCCACAAGGTGACCACGAACCGGATGTGGGAGACAACGAAGCGGGCCATCAAAGAGAACAACGGCATTACCCTGCAGATGGCCAGGGTCTCCCAGCAAGGCATGAAGCTGCTGCAGGAGAATGAGCAGCTCAAGGGAAGCCAGGGCAATCTGTGCAAACAGCTGGAGCTGCTGGAGAACACCCAGAAGGTCATGGCCAGGCACAAAAGAGGCCACCAGAAGGTGCGCCTGCAGGCCTCAGTACAGGGCATTTGGTATACAAGGCAGGAGGCCGCCCTGGGGGCTCTGCAGGGACAGTCAAGTCAGGAGGCAGGGAGGCAGCAGAGAGAGGACTGGGCCTCCTGTGGGGGCTGCAGGGTGCTGGGCCTAGCTCCGGATTGTATTTACTTAAACCCCCATAACTTATGGAAGCAGAGCCCAGTCCTGGAGAGCTTACTGGTCACTCTGCACGGGGGAGCAGGGGAGGCCTGGCTGTGTCCACAACTGGCAGACAGGGCTGACTGAGGGCATGGCCACCTGTCCGCACCTGCAGATTATCCTCATGCTGACCAAGAAATGCCAGGAGCAGCAGCAGGACACCAAGGAGGCCGAGGAGCTGCGCCTCCTGCTGAGCCAGTTGGAGCAGAGATCCCTGCAGCTGCAGGTGGACAACCAGGCACTGAAGTGCGTATGGCCCGCGGAGGGGCGGGCGGCGGGTGGCAGGTGCAAGCTGGGGCCAAGCTCTTTCTGATCTCACGACCCAGGCCAGTGACTTCCCCTCTCTAGAGGAGCCTGCCAGACAGGCTGAGGACTTGGGGCTGGATGGGGGCCCCTCTGGGCTTGGAGAGAAATGGCAGGGCCCCTGGCCCCAGGTGGCGCCAGTCCTGGGGAAGGGGGAAGGCTGTTGACTCATCCCAGTTGGGGTCCAGGAGCCAGAGAGACCAGCTGAGCTTGCAGCTGGAGCAGCAGCAGGGGGATGTGCAGCGGCTACAGCAGGAACTGGCTAATGAGCAGAAGGTTCGGGCCAGCCTGGAGGCAGCCCTGGTCCAGGCCACCTCCTTCCTCCAAAACATTCTGCAGGTGAGCAGAAGGGAGGGAGGGAGGGCGCAAGGGGGCGGGGGAGTGAGCCCAAGATGTAAGCTGCTTGCAGAGGCTGCCTCAGGATCAGAGGCCCCTCTTTTCCCTGAGAGCCTCCTGGAAAGTCTGTCCTTCGCTGATTCTGGCCTTCAAAGATCCCTCCAAGGTCTTAAAGGAGCTGGATTCCTTCTCTGAGGCTCTGAAAGGTCTCAGGCCTCAGTCTTCCCGACTGGAGAATGGGTATCCCACCAGAGACAGGGAAAACTTCGTGGAAATGGGGCAATGAAGTTGGAGGTTCCTGGAGGAGGGTGGGTACTGGGGCCACTGTGGGCCTGCTGCCACCCCACCCTCACCAACAGATGCACCCCGATGAAGAGGACAGCGACTTCGACGTGACATTCCAGCTATGGCACAAGGAGATGCTGCAGCAACTGCTGGTCATGCTCAGCTCCACTGTGGTCCCGAGCCCCCAGAAGGCTGTCTGTCCCCACCCGGAGTCACAGTCCCATGGCCCACCCAAGGAGAGGTGAACAAGTGGCCCTGTGTGGCCTCAGAGGCGGTCATAGAGAGCAGGGCAAAGGCATGCAGCCATGGGGACAGTGCTCGGCTCACCCTGGGCCAGAAACCTGGCTCGTGGAAGGCTCTGTGACCCTCGGTCCCCTCCCCACAGCCGGCCCAGCATCCAGCTGCCCAGGACTGGGTCTCTGCTGCCGCAGCTCTCTGACATCACCCACTACCAGCCGGGGGATCTGGGCCTGGTACCTCGCCAGGCCCACATCCCACCCAACCCCCAGGACCTCAGGCTGCTGTCATATATCACCCGTGTGGGAACCTTCCGGGCACATAGCAGCCCCGAGGTGAGGGTGCTAGGGGCCCCAGTTAGCCAGTCCTGGGAGCAAACTGAGGCTCTGCCAGGCCACAGCTGTGTGGTCCTGGGGATGTAACCAGACCTCTCTGAGCCTTCCCATCTGTAAAATGGGCTGAAGAAAGGGGTGGCCAAGCCTCAGTGGGCCAAGGCATGCCCACACATGTCCTGGGAGGGGCGGTTGGCTGGACCCTGTTGTTCCCTCCCCCACCAGCAGAGTGGGATCCCCCTGAAGAGGCCTCAGCTTCCAAGCCAGCACCTTTTTTTTTTTTTTTTTTTGAGACGGAGTCTCACTCTGTCACCCAGGCTGGAGTGCAGTGCCGCAATCTCAGCTCATGGCAGTCTCAGCTCACGGCAACCTCCGCCTCCCGGGTTCAAGTGATTCTCCTGCCTCAGCCTCCCGAGTAGCTGGGATTACAGGCGTGCGCCACCACGCCCGGCTAATTTTTGTATTTTTAGTAGAGATGGGGTTTCACCATGTTGGCCAGGATGGTCTCGAACTCCTGAGGTCAAGCAATCCCGCAGCTTCGGCCTTCCAAAGTGCTGGGATTACAGGCGTGAGCCACTGCGCCAGGCCTCCAAGCCAGCATCTTTAATCTTACAGATACGTGCCCCTGCTTCTCTAAAAAGGCTCAAAACGTTTAGTCTTCCTGAAGTTCCCCTACGTTCCAAATAGGACACAGAGAGAAGAACCTACTTCAGAAATGGACTGGTCCAGTCACAGTCACCCCCACTTTAATCCGCAGGCAGCCTGGAACAGTCTAGAGGACAGTTGTATAAAAAGTAGATTCCAAGGCTGGCATGGCAGCTCTGTGGCCCTGGCTGGGTTGGTGGGTACTACAGTCAGGCGGGCAGCCATGGCCACTGGTGTCACGGCCCCAGTGAGGGCCCCTGGCTTCGCTCACGAATGTGGTCCAAGATCAGGTCGGTGGCTCGATCCAGCAACAGAGGCAGCAGCTCCTGTTCAGCAGGGGAGAAGCAGCCCAGCACATGGGCCTGTACTGCCTCAGGGTGTGTCGGGCGCCCGATGCCCACCCGCAGCCTTGGCATTGCCTGTGGGAGAGCCAGAGAGGCCCAGGAAGCTTTGGCGAGGTGCTGGGGGACCCCTGGCCCACCCGACCCAGTTGCACAACAAAAGGGTACTCACATTGGAGTTGAGGCAGCTAATGCAGGAACGGACTCCATTGTGGCCCCTTCAAGGGATATGGGAGGGGCAGTTAGTGCCTCCCTGGGGCAGTGTCCTTCCACCCCTCCCTGCCCGGGCTGGGTCAGAGCAGCCCATTTCCTGTGGAGACTGGGTCAGCAGCCCTACTCCACCCCAACTGGGAGGCCTGAAGCCCTATCCCAACCCTGACCATCTCAGGACCTCACCTGGCACTGCCCCCCAGCTTCAGAGCCAGTCTCCCCAGGGGCTTGTCCAGCTCATCATGCACCAGGTAGACTTCCTCGGCAGTCAGCCCAAACAGCTCCGCTTAGCACAGGGAAACGGCAGCCCTGGTTACTGCCCATCTGCCCAGAGGGTCACTGTCCAGACTCCCATGATGAGGGGCCACAACTAATCAATCCCACTTCACATATAAAGAAATGGAGGCCCCCACAAGTACCCAAGGCCATGCAGCAACTGGAGCTCAACAGGTACTTGGAGGTGAACCCGCGGATCTGTCACAGCCAGTCCCGCTCTGGCCCCTGCACTCCCACCCTCACCCCCCACCTCCTCGGCCGGCCCGCCCGTCCCTGGCGCTCTCAACTCACCAGCCCGGGCCACGCTGCGCCCGTTGGCGTTCATAAGCCGCCGTGGCCGGAGCAGGACCAGCTGGGCATCCCCCAGCGGGGCCAGGGCGAGGTCGGCGGCACAGTGCCGGTCGCGCGTCCAACTCTCCGCCACACCCAGCCGCCGCGCCAGCTGCCCCAGCACCGCCATGCCTACGCTGTGTCGCGTGCCAGGCAGTCCGGGATTCCCCAGGCCAGCCACCTGCGGGCGGCACCAGGGAAACTGAGGCCCAACAACTCTCGCCACCCCCGACCTCACAGCGTCCCGTGGGCTCCAAAGCAGAGAAGCGGAAACGCAGAGCAACGCTGCAGTGGGGAAGGGGCGCGAAGAAAGGGCCCAGAAACCCGACCCCCGAGAACTCCAGAAGGCTGGGCAGGCAGGGCGCCCTAGTGCAGGAACGGAGCTTCTGGAAGTTTGCAGCCCGTCGAGCACCGGACCCACCAGTTAAGAAAACAGAGCAGCAATTTGGGGGCACTCGGCTCCCGGGACATAATGGCCGAACTGAAGCTAGGGACTGGGGGCCCCTACGTCGCCGCCCCACGCCACTCACCATCCACCGCTTCCCCGGGGGCCGAGGCTCCAAAACGCATCGGCTCATGGCTCGACTCAGCCACTGTCCGGCGCCCAAAAAGCCGCGCGGCCTCATGCTGCCCCCATTCCCGGCCCGGACACCGCCCCCTGACGTCATCACCCCGCAGCAGCCAATCGCGTTGCCATTTGTTTGGCGTCCACCGCCAACGTCCAATCCGAGCCGGGCTGCATGGCCGCCATGCTTCTGAGGGGCGGAAGCGGCGAGGTGGTGGCAGAGTCCGGGAGCCCAGGCGCCTTCAGTGGCGCGGCGTCACAGTGTCCCTGCGGGGTTTGTGTGGGACGCTTGGAGCTCTTGCTTGACCTTCGGTTGGGAGGCGAAAGCCTTGTTATGCTCCCAGCTATGGCCCTGCCTCGCGGCGAAAATCTGGCAAGTCCTTTCCCCGATGGAGGCCTCAACCTCCCCAGCTAATAAAAGTTTTCTACCTCCCTCCGGCTCAAAAAGCTTGGTTCCCGGGGGCGGGGCCAGAGGGGCGGGGCCTGTGGGCGTCCTGGTGATGGTGCCTAGCAACGTCAGGGCCGGGGGCCTCGAGGTAGTTGGCAGAGGCCTGGGGTCCTCCTGGAAGGGGCCTCATGACAGATTCGGACGAGGTGCGGGCTGGGGAGAAGACTAATGCAAAGGCAGAGGGCCAGGCAGAGAGACCGAGGCTGGGTTCGCAGGAAAGGGTGAAGGCCGGGAGGGGCAGGGGCAGCAGTCCGACTCAGGGAAGGCCCTGGCCACCATGCCAAGAACCAGGGATGTGAGAGATCCTTGTAAGGCTCGGCGGCTGCTTGGACAGAGGTTTCTGGCTTGGGTAGCTGGTGGGGAAGGTGACCTCACCAAGATGGGAGAGCCTGGGGCAGAAGTCAGGTGAGGTGCTCAGTGTGGCCTGCTGGAGTGAGGGTCCTGAAGGGTACCCAAGGGGCTGTAGGACCCCCAAGGCCTGAGACTTGGGACCGGGCCTGAGCTGGAGACATCAGAACTTGGGGTGTCAGTAGCCAGAAGTGGGAGCTGGGAAGGCCTAGAGGGGAGAGCAGATGGTGTTGTAGGTGTGAGGACCCTGATCCCTGACCTTGACCACAGGAGAGGGAGAAGGGCGGGACTGGGGAAGGATAGGTTGGCGTGGCCCTAAGGGGAATGGGACTGGGAGTGCCTCCTTCCAGGCCTCATTTCTGCCTCTCCTCCCTCCCTGCAGAATTCTGGCAAGTGTGTCAGTGGGTGGGGGTCATCTCGGGGGCCTGCTGCAGCTTGCTGTCCTTCGGTTCTAGGATGCCCTGAAGGTTGACCAGGGCCCCTCACAGGACATCCCAAAGCCATGGGTGATTCCAGCCCCCAAAGGGATCCTGCAGCGCATCTTTGGAACCAGCCAGGTGTTCCAAAGCATCTGTGACGTAAAGCCAAAGGTCACGGGGTTAACAGTGCCCCTCAAAGTCAGGGAGTAGTGAGTGACTACCTTGCTCTGGGGTCCCAGGTTCCTGCCCGACACAGCCATTCACATACCGTGCAGCTTTGAGCCACTTACTCTGTTCGGGCCTCAGTGAACTCAACTGTCTAATGGGGCTCTTCCACCTCAGTGGAAATGAGGCTGATAGCCTGGCTGGACTCCAGGAACACCAGCCTGCCCTCCCTGGGCTTCTATCTACTCCTCCTGCCTCTCTACCCAGCTCCCTTGCCTCCCACAACCCCCACCCCAGCCCTGTGCTCTCGGCTGGTCCACAGTCAGGGTCACCCCTCTGCCTGTCGCCACTTTCTCCACAGCTACTCCAGAGGCCAGCAGTGTTTGGAGCAGGCAGACTGGGAGACAGCTGTGCTGTTCTTCTCCCGCGCGCTCCACCTGGACCCACAGCTGGTGAGAGGCAGACCCGGGTGGGCAAAGACAGTTGCTGGAACATGCTTCCTCCCTCCCTGTTGCACCTGCCAGATCCCTCCTCTCAGGGCCACAAAGTCCCTGATGGGAATTGGGGGTGTCAACCCTCGGCGGGGGCGGAGACTTTTCCCCTCCCCTCCAGGGGCAGATGGTGGGGAGGATCCAGCAGCCTGGGTCCCCTCACCCTTAGGTGGACTTCTACGCCTTGCGGGCTGAGGCCTACCTCCAGCTCTGTGACTTCTCCTCGGCTGCCCAGAACCTGCGAAGGGCCTACTCCTTACAGCAGGACAACTGCAAGCACCTGGAGCGCCTCACCTTTGTGCTCTACCTGCAGGTGCCTGGGGCTGCCAGGGCCTGTGCAGGGCACACACCTCACACCACTGGCTTTCCCTCCAGGGGCTCTCCTGGCTCCTGGGCCCAGCTCTGTCTCCTTGGATTCCTCCTTGTCCCTGTGTCTGGGTCCCCACCTGCTGCCCCTCTCACCTCCAAGGCTGGTTTACTGCCAGGGTTGAGTCAAGTTTGGCAACACTGTCCATTCAGGCTTTCTGCCATAATGACAGTGTCCAATATGCTACCCACCAGCCACGTGGAACTGTTGAGCCCTTGACATGTGGCAAGTGTGACTAAAGAACTGAATTTTATATCTTATTTTTATTTTATTATTATTATTGTTTTTGAGACGGAGTCTCGCTCTGTCGCCCAGGCTGGAGTGCAGGGGCACGATCTCGGCTCACTGCAACCTCTGCCTCCCGGGTTCAAGCAATTCTCCTGCCTCAGCCTCCTGAGTAGCTGGGACTACAGGCACATGCCACCATGCCTGTCTAATTTTTTGTATTTTAGTAGAGACAGGGTTTCACTTTGTTGCCCAGGCTGGTCTCGAACTCCTGGGCTCAGGCAATCTGCCCGCCTCAGCCTCCCAAAGTGCTAGGATTACAAATGTGAGCCACTATGCCCAGCCTCTTATTTTTATTTTAATTAATTTAAATGTGTATAGCCACACAAAGCAGTGGCTATTGTCTTGGATAGGATGGCACAGATCTAGAGTCCAGAGGCTCTAAGCACTAAAAAACTCACAGTGACCCCCAAGTGTATTTCAAAGGAAAAACAATATTAAACTATAAAACACCAACAAAGTCTTGCTTTTTTCAATTTTGATAACCTTGTTTTTTTGTTTTTTTGTTTTTTGAGACGGAGTCTTGCTCTGTTGCCCAGGCTGGGGTGCAGTAGTGTGATCTGGGCTCACTGCAAGCTCCGCCTCCCAGGTTCACACCATTCTCCTGCCTCAGCCTCCCGAGTAGCTGGGACTACAGGCGCCTGCCACCTCGCCCGGCTAGTTTTTTGTATATTCTTTTTAATAGAGACGGGGTTTCACCGCGTTAGCCAGGATGGTCTTGATCTCCTGACCTCGTGATGCGCCCGTCTCAGCCTCCCAAAGTGCTGGGATTACAGGCTTGAGCCACCGCGCCTGGCCTATTTTTGTACTTTTAATAGAGATGGGTTTTCGCCATATTGGCCAGGCTGGTCTCCAACTCCTGACCTCAAGTGATCTGCCTGCCTCGGCCTCCCAAAGTGCTGGGATTACAGGTGTGAGCCAGTGCGCCTGGGCTTGATGTCTTTTGTTTATGTCAAAATATATTTAGCTCTTGGCCGGTTTGGGAGGCCAAGTAGGGCGGATCATGAGGTCAAGAGTTTGAGACCAGCCTGGCCAACATGGTGAAACCCCGTTTCTACTAAAAATACAAAAATTAGCTAGGCGTAGCACACGCCTGTAATCCCAGCTACTTGGGAGGCTGAGACAGGAGAATCTCTTGAAACCAGAAGGCAGAGGTTGGGGTGAGCGGAGATCGTACCACTGTACTCCAGCCTGGGTGACAGAACAGGACACTGTCTCAAAAAAAAAAAAAAAAAAAAAAAAATCTCTTCTTAAAAAGAAACATTTGGGGCCCTCAGACCATGTGCTGAATCTGTCTGTTGCGGGCCCGTGTCCTGCACGGCCACTTCCTGTGTGCCCTTATGCAAGTCACTCCACCTCTCTGAGCCTCAGTTCCTTTATCTATAAGAGAAGCATGCTAGTGCCAGTGAGAAAACAAGTTGAAGTTCTTAGCACAGGGCTCAGCACCCAGGGCCCAGGGCCAGGCTACAGCATGTTCATGTTAGTTCTGCTGGTCTCTTCTGCCATCGGAGATTCTGTTTTTTGTTTGTTTGTTTGTTTGTTTGTTTTGAAATGGAGTCTCGCTCTGTTGCCCAGGCTGGAGGGCTGTGGCATGATCTCGGCTCACTGCAACCTCTGCTTCCCGGGTCCAAGCGATTCTCGTGCCTCAGCCTCCTGAGTACCTGGGATTACAGGCATGCACTAACATGCCTAGCTGATTTTTGTATTTTTAGTAGAGACAGGGTTTCACCATGTTGGCCAGGCTGGCCTCAAACTCCTGGTCTCAAGTGATCCATCTGCCTCAGCCTCCCAGAGGGCTGGGATGGGATAACAGGCGTGAGCCACCGTGTCTGGCCCAGCCATCTGAGTTTTCTCCATTTCTCTTTCTTCCTGAATCTCTGTATTCCTGTCTCTTGCCAAGTGTGTATCTCTCACCGACTCTTGCTGTCTTTCCCCAGATCTGTATCTCCATCTGTCTCTGTGTCTCTGCCTCTTCAAGTCTCTCCCAGATCTAAAAGGCTCTATCCTTGTCTCTTGTATCTCTCCCTCGTGCCTCAGGGCTTTTGGCTGCCAACCAGGGGGTGCAGCTGGGCCGGGGTGGCAAGCAGAATTGACTGTCCCCTGTGTTCCCAGGGGCAATGCCTTTTTGAGCAGTGTGCCTTCCTGGATGCCCTGAATGTCTTCTCACATGCTGCCGAGCTCCAGCCTGAGAAAGCGTGCTTCCGTTACCGATGGTGAGTGCCCTTGCTGGACCCTTCTCCCAGCAGTGGCTTCCTGACACCCCACCCGGGAACCAGAGCACTCTGTTCCCTCTGCCCTCAGCATGGCCTGTCTCCTGGCCCTCAAGCAGCATCCAGCCTGCCTCTCACTCATCACCGAGGAGCTGAAGCAGGACACCACTAACGCCGACGTCTACATCCTCCGGGCCAGACTCTACAACTTTCTCCAGAAGGTACAGTGGAGAAGGCGGGCAGGGGCGTGCCTCCCAACCTGGGGGTCATCAGTGTGCCCCAAGATTACAGGAGGAGGCAAGGCTGTCAGCTAGCCCAGAAGCCCCATCCCACAGTGCCGTGGGCGCTGTCCTCCCTGGGAAGAGGCCCACACTGGCCTGGACCACTCAGCTACCACTTCAGGTCCTTGTTCCGTTGTTGCTCAGCCCTGGCTCTGTGCCAGGCCCGTGCTGCACCCCAGGGGAAGCAAAAGATGAGAGACTCATGTGATCCCTGTCCAGATGGAGCTCACAGCCTGGGGGAGGTATCCCTGGGCAGATGAGTACACTGCAAAGGATTTAGCCACAATCCTATGAAGCCACACACGGGGGCACCCAGAGCACCTAACATGAGTTAGCCCTTCTCCCTCCTCCCTTCCTCCCTCCTCCCTTCCTCCCTCCTCCCTTCCTCCCTTGCTCCTTCCTCCCCCCTCCCTCCTCCC